GTTGAGGGCCTTGTTTTGCTCCTTAAACCCATATCCTCCAACATTTCTCTGATGAAAATAGAGACATCCTAAATCCTTCCCATGAATGGAATAATCAAGCAAAATAGCAAAAGAAATGAGGCAAACGAAGATAAAAGGCCCATACTTCTGTGACTTGGATCATGTGTACAGTTTGCAGAATTGAGTTTTTACTTTGGAATGCCTTAGCACAATTTCTTCCCTATTTGGGGTACAAACAGTCGCACACAGCCCTGGATCTCACCCTGAGACTGTGGCAAATGAACAATTGGGTCCTGCCTTAGGAGGAGCCCTGATTCCCCTGCAGTGCCACAGAAGCAAACTCCCTGTGTCTTGGGCTAACTTTTACTGTATTTTTCCATGGATAGGACCATATTTCCCCCCAAATTTTTTAAGTTTAAAATTGGGGGTTGTCTTATACACAGAATGTTGCAATTATTTATTTCTTAATTTTGGGCTCAAAAAATAGGGGCCGTCTTATACATGGAAAAATACAGTATATCCCCTCCAGAATCAAAGGCACTATGCCCCTGCCTGCCGCTTCCTGAGAAGGCTATGGTGCTCATGTTCTGCTCACAAGTTTTCCAAAGGCACCTGGCTGCTCACTGTGGGAAAGAGGCCTTTGATTGAGCTGGCTCCTTCTGAGGTTCTTACCTGCATTTGAAGTGCATGCCTTTCTTTCTGTACTTGTGTGTGTGCAGAAGCACCTGTGCATCCCTCCCTCTCCTTTCACCATGGCTCTGAGCACATGGACCACTGCACTGTGTTGGGGACAGTCAGCCCATTTGTTTGCCTAGGCTACGGAGGCGCTTCAAATCTCTCCACTGCGCCTCTGCCCAGGCTCAGCCTCTAAGCTGATGACATATCCTTCAACCTTTCCTGCGGCTCAGCGAGGCGCAGCTGCTGCCTGAACCAAGGAAAATGTCAGCCCCCAGGAGGAGGAGAGGTTTAACTTAAAGTGAGCCCCGAGGAAGAGCCATCCCACAAGCCAGGGATTGCTTCCTTGCTGCTGCAGCATGTTATTTACATTTGCTCTTTCCAAGGCTGCCCAGCAAAGTCTCTCCACCTGCTCTCCCCACAACAGTAGACGCATTGGGGTGAGCCTTCCCTTCCTCTGGCTGCATTGCAAACACAGTGCACACATCAACACAAGAACTTGGCAAGAGTTGTTTTTCAAAAGGCTGGTGTCAGCCAGGGCTTAGCCCCATAACCTATTTCCATAGGCTCAGCTCTGCCCGGGAAGGAGGTATCGCCTCCTGAACAGGTTACAGAAAGGCAAATATGCAAAGGCTCCTCAGTGGAGACTCTCCAACTTCTGACTCCAAGCCTTGGGGTCTTGATACCTGTGGCCCTCCAGGTGTTGTTGAGCTCCAGTTCCCATCATCTCTTGACCATTGGGCTTGATGGGAAGTAGAGCCTATCAATATCTGGAGGGCCAGAAGTTAGCTACCTATGGCCTACACTGTCTGGCTCAACTCTCCAGGGTTTCAGACAAGGGGTGGAGGAAGAAGGGTGTAGTGGGGGCTGACCACCCCAGGTGTCTTCGCTGAGGGGAGTGACATTTGGTACGCTGCCTGCCCATGACTCCCAAGCCTACCCCAAGCCGTCAGGGGAAGGGGGGAGCTGCGCTGCTTTGCTGGAGGCATCCCCCCCTTCCCCCTTTGTTTTGACAGCTCAGGGGAGGCTTGGGAGTTGCAGGAGGGCAGTGCACCAAATGTCTGCCATCAGCGGCTTGCTCTGCCCTCAGCTGCAGGGGGTGCACGCCGCTCCATGCACCCGAGCCTGGGAGGGCACCCTCTGCCCCTGCCCCCCTCAGGAGCGTGCCCCACCTCCCTCGGGACTCTCAGCCTCTAACCCATCTTCACCTGAAGATGCTGAACCTGGGACATTCTGTATGCACGATGTGCTCTTCTACTGAGCTAGGGTCCTTGGTTGACTGCTATGGACTATCGTATTTGTATCTGGTGTAAATCATTTGGAGTTCAATAACTGAAGGAAAGGTGCATGTAAATAAACCTGACCTCACCTGACTGGGCATGATGGACTCAATCCTGCCAATGTTTTTCACTGGGTTCATCATACATTGTTGGGGTCTGGCTGGATGGATGAGGAAGAGTGGTAGGTGCTGCCTATCCAAGAGGCCCTCAGGGAGGGCAAAGAAGAGGATGACTTAGATCCTGGATCCTGGTGTTGGGACACTAAAGAGCATAGCTGTCAACTTTTCCCTTTTCTTGCGAGGAATCCTATTCAGAATAAGGGAATTTCCCTTAAAAAAAAGAGAAACGTTGACAGCTATGCCAAAGAGCAGTCTGCGGAAGGGATGAGCTGGGAGGTGTCCTGATCAGTGTGACTGCAGACTCAGACAGAGCAGAGTCAGAGGTTGCTCTTGCACCAAGACAGTCCCAGTCCAGCTGGATCTACACCCTGCTCTGATACACCACTTGAGGAGAGTCCTGCATGTTGCTGAGCAATGGCCCAGATAGCCCCTGGGGGGTGGGTCTCTCCCTTGAAGCAGCCTTCATCTACTTGGGAGGGGTCTAGAGTGAAAGGCCAGAGGGGGAAGGGTGGAGCTAGTGGTCAGTTTCAACAACTTCTTAGCTGGATTAGGCAAACCAGCGGACTCTGCTTTGCTAATTGCATTTCGGGCCTTCTGTGTGTGTGTCTGCCCTGTAGTTGACCTGGCTCATTGACAGCTCCTTGACACCCACCCACACCATAAGCCAGGACCTCTGCCATCTGCTGCCATCCATGCCCAAGTGACTGCTTGGGACACCAGCTATTGATGAGCACGCGTTCGATAGGCTATATGCAACGAACATCTACTCCATGGGTAGGCAAACTAAGGCTTGGGGGCCGGGGCCGGCCCAATCACCTTCTAAATCCGGCCCTCGCATGGTCTGGGAATCAACGTGTTTTTACATGTGTAGAATGTGATGTTTATTTTAAATGTATCTCTGGGTTATTTGTGGGGTATAGGAATTCGTTCATTTCCCCCCGTAAAATATAGTCCGGCCCACCACAAGGTCTGAGGCACGGTGGACCGGCCCCCTGCTCAAAAAGTTTGCTGACCCTTGATCTACTCAAAGCAAAACCATGGTAATTAAGGAACTTAAGTTAGCCGTGTCTCTTCAGTTGTTGTTGTTTAGTCGTTTAGTCATGTCCGACTCTTCGTGACCCCATGGACCAGAGCACGCCAGGCACTCCTGTCTTCCACTGCCTCCCGTAGTTTGGTCAAACTCATGCTGGTAGCTTTGAGAACACTGTCCAACCATCTCGTCCTCTGTCGTCCCCTTCTCCTTGTGCCCTCCATCTTTCCCAACATCAGGGTCTTTCCCAGGGAGTCTTCTCTTCTCATGAGGTGGCCAAAGTATTGGAGCCTCAGCTTCACAATCTGTCCTTCCAGTGTCTCTTAAGTACAATGGGTCTATTCTGAGTATGGCTAGCATTGGACTCAGCCTATTGTCATTTCCACTTTGCTCTCAAGGCTATGGATGATGGGTTTGTTTGCATCTCTCCAGCTGTACTAGGTGCCTCCTGCCCACTGTGTTACCAAGGTGGTACAAATACCCAGCTTGTTAGAGGCTCATCTTGTATCAGCATTTTTCTGTCAAGCAGCCAGTCTTTCCCCCACAAAGCATCATGCTGCATATATATATATATATATATATATATATATATGCAACATATAGGGGGGGGGGAATGAAATTGAGAGTGCTAACCACGAGTTTCACTTTCTCTGCCTCATTATACTTTGTCTCTATTTGAGGCTGCCTCTGTGTGGAGCTGCACGTCTGAATACCAAGCATGTTAATAGGTTAAAGTAAATCTAAAGTTACATTTGAAAGCCAAAAAGATGAAAGTAGATCACAGGCCAAAGATCAAACAATCTAGAACCACTTCTAAGCTTTTTACTGCTGGAGATTATTAGCATTTGAAAGTGAAGAGCATTAGTGAGAGGAGGGGAGGGAGGGGGGAGCGAAGTTGGAAGGAATTTCAGCTGTGGAGATAAAATGGAAATAAAATGACAGCGGAGAGAAGAGGGAATGCAGAAGGGGATTGGATTGATTCAAAAGGGGTGTGTATTTATATATGCAATATGTGTGTGAAGGGGGATGACTGGACTTATTTTTAGAAATCAAATAAATATTTTAGCTGATTGAATTAAAAATAAAGGGAAGTAAACTGAGCTGGAAATTCTTCAGGTTTTACCACTGTGTTTTCCCCAAATGTCTGATGATTGAAGTGCCTTTTTTCCCTATGTTAGAAATTGGATGAACCTTTCAGTCTTACATTGCATAAAGCTCCCTGTGATTTTGTGTGAGTGGCTGTCTGGGGCATGAAACATGTTTCTTGACCAGAAGCAAGCAAGCCTGGGGCAGTTACAGTCACTCACTATGAGACACAATATTCTGCCTCCTCAGAAGGTAGGTGAGTCTGCTGCTTCCCTTTACGACAAAGCATTTGAATTACCTGGAAAGAGGGCAGTTATTCAACCTCACCGTAAGAAAATCTCTCCAGACCCAGAAAACTGTAGTAGCTCTATCGCCTGCCTAGCAGTCATATATCATCACTGTTCAGTTTTAGAAGGCTATTTATTTGTTTGTTTGTTTGTTTGGAATATATCTATAAATCATTAAACATCACAATAATACCAAAGCAGTATAGAGCAACAATAAAAATAAAACAAGTAAAAACAGATAAAGCAATGCCCAAAACACACACTGATACGAAAAACCCACAGTCAACTCATCCTTCTGGGAAGGTCTGTAAAAATAAAAATGAAAAGATGCTTTTCCACCCAAATAAATGTATACAGTGTCAGAGCCTGTTTTATAATGAACACAATCTTAAATGTATACAGTGAAACACAGGGCACTGCTTTCTACTGAGTCAGAACACTGGTCGACCTAGGTTAGTGTTGTCTGCATTGAGTAGCAGCAGACCTCTAGGATTTCAGACAGGGGGCAATTGCCACCCTTACCTGGAGATGCCCAGGATTGAACCTGCGACCTTCTGCATGCAGAGCGAATGCTCTGCCACTGAGCTGCACAGCCCTTCCCTAACTTCAATAGGCAGCATGTTCCACATGGCAGGTGTTGCTGCACCAAATGCTCGAGTCCAAGTCACCATGGAATGAGCCTCCGACACACACAACACCGCAAGGTGGGTCCCCATAGGTGACTGCAGTGAACAGACAGTAAGGCAGGGGTCAGCAAGGCTTACCGGCCATGGGCTGGATCACTGCAGCAGAGATCGTCTGTGGGCCAGACCAGCGCAGCACGACACCGTAAATCACATCTGCACATCTGCACATGTCTGCGTGCCGGAAATCACTTCTGCACATACCCAGATGCCAGAAATCATGCCTCCGCAGAAGCAATTTTCAGCATCTGGGCATGCACAGAAGCAATTTCTGGTATCTGCGCATGTGCAAACGTGATTTCCGGTGCCGCTCGGCAAGTCCCTGCACCGCACTGCACCGGTTTAGCGCAGCACGTGGGGCACTCGTCGAGCGGGTGGCTTGGTTTAGGGGCTGCTCGTGGGGTGGTAAAATGGTCTTCATGGGCCGGATCTGGCCCATGGGCTGCACGTTGCCGACCCCTGCAGTAAGGTGATCCCTTAGGTGTTCTGATCAAAAAAATTTAAGGGGTTATAAATCGTGGGACTTTCTGATTTCGAGAAATAGTGACACGAAAGAATATATATATATATATATATATATATATATATATGGCATAGAGAAACTGGATAGCAAAACTCTTTCTCCCTCCCATAAGACTAAAACTCATGGACATCCAATGAAGCTCAAAGCTGGAAGACTCAGGACAGATAAAAGAAAGTACCTATTCACACAGCCAGTAGTTAAACTATGGAACAGGAGGCAGTGAAGCCATGAACTTGGATGCCTTTAAAAGAGAATAAGACAAATTCATGAAGGAGAGGGCTACTGAAGGCTACCAGCCATAATGGCTATGTTCTACTTCCACTGTCAGAGAAAGCATGCATATTAATACCTGTTACTGTAGCAAGCGCTACTGCTCTCAAGTCTTCCTTGTGGGTTTCACACAAGCATCTGCTTGGCCACTGTGAGAACAAGATGCTGGGCTGGATGGGCAGTTGGCTTGATATATCAGGATCTTCCTATGTTATGTTCCTATCAGGGATGACAGCAAGCCCACTGGGATCGGCTGCTCTATGGAGTTCGGCAGGACACTGGGCTTGACATCACTGCCTGCAAAATGATTGGCAGTGACTTCAAGTCTGCTGGGATTAAGCTGCTCTGTGCAGTTCCCTGTGGGGAAGGAACCTGCTCAAAGCAGGGCTTGAAGTCAGTGCCCATCAGCTTGGCGGGGCTGGCATCTTCCTTTATAGCATGGCACAAAAGAAAAATGCTTTATAGCATGCACCACAAAGGAAAAATGGGTCATCTGGTGTCATAGCGACATCAGGTGATTGACACATGAGCAGGGGGCTCCACCCAGCTGTCATAATCACTCACTGATCTAGCTTCCAGGTTCTCCTTATGCTATTGTGTTCCTGTCTGGTTGCCACTGTAGGAACAGGATACTGAACTAGCAGACAGACCCTTGGGTCTGGATCCAGCAGGTCTCTTCTTTTGCTGTAGTTGCCTGATCCTACCCCGCAGATTCCGCATTGAGCAAAGGACTGGATTGGATCGCCTTCCCGCAGGTCAGGGATGGGAAGACTTTTGCGACCGGTGGGCCATATATTTATCTTTTCCTATCCCAGGGGCCAGCTTTGACAGGTGTGTGGAGTCACTAGCCTGTCAGTTATCCGGCATCCTTCTTCTTCTTCTTCTTCTTCTTCTTCTTCTTATTATTATTATTATTATTATTATATACCGCCCTATACCCAGAGGTCTCAGGACGGTTCACAGAACAAAATTGAAATAGAAAACGACAAAAAATATAAAAAAACAAAAAAAACAAGATGGGTCTGGTTTTGCCAGCACATTGTCCTTAGGGAATGCACTAGTGAAGCAACACCATGAAGGACTGAACCGTCTGCTCATCAGCTGAGCAGAGGGTCCTATGCTGCTCTTTGCAGGGATCTCCTTCACCAGTGCATTCCCTGCACCCAGCAGAATTGAACCTTGTCCCCCTGCACATCAGCTGACACCATCCAGTGACATCAGCTGATGCACACAAGGCTGTAATTTTGGGGATCTGGTCTTGTGGGCCTATTGGACACCTGGTGGACCAAGAATGGCCTATGATCTGGAAAGGTTCCCTTCTCCTGCCCAAAGGCATTTCTTACTCTATGGATCTTTGTTCTTACAAATACTCTGGCCTGACAGGAGCCTTTAATTCATAGTTTCCAAGCAAATAGTCCTTATGAATTAGTGTTCTAGCGCATGGAACATCCTCAGTTCTTCCTTGTTGTATTATGAGCGATGAGATCCCTCTGCTGCTGCCCTGCCTAACACACACAGACACACAGAGAGAGATGCACAGGGAGCCATGAAGTTTGGCCCGGCCCAGACATCTGCTTTGCATTCCAACATTTGGGTCCTCCCCAGGGGCTGGATGGTGTGAAGAGCAGCAAAGCCGTGGCTGGCAAAATAGGAGGCGAGCCCCCCGTTGCTCTGTCAGTTTGCTGGGGCCCCCTGTAGCCTGTCTCCTTTAGAAGTGCTTGAACCTGACAAGGAAGCAGGCGGGAAACCTCCCTTTCGGCACAGCCGCTGCCTGGCCTCACCTCCGGCCTGGCAGAATGTCAAGCGATGGGGCCAAAAATAGCCATCAAAAGAGCACTCAGATAATTTGAGCTGACCAAATGAGAGGAAAGGGCATAAGCCGAGAAGCTTCTCTCTGTCTCTCCCCCTTCACTTTGGCCTTTTTTCTGCAGGGGGGCGGGGGGGGGAGGCATCTGTTTTTCTATCGGTTTGCTTCCCGCTGCCTGCCTTCTTAGAGTTGAATGGATTCTCCCCAGTGTGAAAGTCAGAAAAGAAAGTTTATAAGCCAGCTCAGTAAATGTTTTGGGTTTGTGATAAGCACAACTGGAGCTCCAGCTGTGATCTACACAGGTTTATGTCCCGCAGAAATATGGGATGTCTTTTTAAAGAGAGAGAAGCAGAATAGGTGAATTATAACTTTCTACAGTTGAGAAACTCACAGGGTAGGGTGGCTGTGTGCCCTACCTTGCAGAGGACAGTCCTCTGTTTTGGTTTTTAATTAGTTTTCATTAAAGATTTTTTTTGGTGATTCAAAGCAAGCTAATAAGCAAGGAAAAATACATATGGTGTCTCCACTTTTTAGTTCAAATTGATCCAAAGGTTTCAAAACATCCCCAGAAGGGAGACTTGGGGGTGGGTGTTGAAGTTGCCTTTTGACAATCAGCACCTGGACAGCAGACTGAACTCACTTGGTCACAGCTTACTGTGGCGAGATGTATTTCTGTTTAAATTAGATTAATTATTTCCAAATTTGCATCTATACAAATGAGGTAGCATATCCAAACTGTGCCCTGTTTTGTCCTCTGCTTTTGGCGATCCATAAGGAGTCAGCTGATCTCAGCACGGTGGCCAGGGGTAGGGGTAGGGGAGCTGCCCGTCGGTGGACAACCCAACCTGGAGCACTGAGGGGTTGTTGTTTTTAAGGCTTTTTCCTATGTGTCCTGATAGCATCTAGGAAAGGAACAATAGCTTGCTTTTAGAAATGGAACATTTCTCATTTTAAAAAAAGAACAACTCAGTAGGAGCTGGTGACTCTCAAATGTAATTGTGCCCCAGATTCCACCCGTCTTTAGACTGTGAAGTTGCAGGCAGGGAACAGTTACACACACACACAGAGAGAGAGAGAGAGAGAGAGAGAGAGAGAGAGAGAGAGCGCTCCATTTTATCTAGTTTTTTTCTTCAGAATACCAATCGAGTGCGGGGCGGGGGGACATAACCCTCTCCCCACTCCACCCTGCTTCATTGCTCAGTCTTTACAGGCTACAATTTTTGAGTGTGGAATTACATGTAACAGGTTCATTTATGACCAGCATTTGCCAGCCTGGTGCCCTCCAGATGTTTGGGACCACAAACTTGCATCACCTCCAGCCAACATCTAGAGGGCACCAGGTTGGCAAAGGCTGTTTAATTACAGAAAGACAGTTTTGCATTTGTTTGGCTGAAACCAGTCTTCAGTTCCAGGTAAGCAGTCCCTAGCCACCAGTCTTTCATGAAGTGCATTACTTTTTTGTCTTCCTCGCTGGGTTCAAATTTGCTGTGTTAACTTATCCTTTGTCAGTCTATCCCACAGTTATTTATTTTATTTTTGTTATCTCCAGTCTCTTTCTGTCAGTGGCTCAACACATTCCCACTTCTGCGCTGTCAGGAGATTATGGATTAGTTTCTTAGTGAAGCAGCTTGTGCCCCCATCACTGAAACACTCAAAGAGCATTATCTGTGGGTAAAGGTGTAGCTCTCACCTTGTAATTTTGCCTATGACCATTCCACCAGAGCCAGCCCTTTCAACAGTTGCCATCTGGCATATTTTAGGCAATCAATTCCCCACACATGGACACCTTCAGGTGGGTTTTCAAGATCACTGTCACCCACAATCATATTATGAAATAATTCCATTCCAGCTACTGTAGCTGGAAGCACAGTCAGATGCCTAAAGGAGTACCATGAATCAGGGGTGGTCAATTGACTTCAACCTGGGGCATGGCCAGTATCTTATCCGCCAGACTTCTTGAGCTTCCAGCCAGCTTTTTTGTTTTTGTTATGTTACTAGCAATTAATTCCTCTTCTGCTAGCCTGCTGCATGAAAGTCCTTGTCACCTGTGGCTACCAGGCTCGTGCTTAAATGCAAGGCTGCTTTAAACCTTGCTGGAAGTCTGTCTGCTTCTCTGAAATGTCCCTGTGGACTCTGGTGCTTGAATCAGGAATGTCAATGGTCTTCTGTTGGGACGAGACCAAATGAGCTACCTGGGATTGGTTGTACTCATCCCTCAGGGCTCCCTTAAGAATATCAATGAGAAGATGACTGTGCAACATCAACACTCATGATTGTGGATAGTGTGAAGCTTCCAGATAGATCTGGTTATAACTACTAGGAACCTGATCAGCTCACCTTGCTTGGACTACATGCACTCTGGTCTCCCAAGTTCTCTCAGTCTTCAGCTCAAGTGTAGCTTTCCATAGCCTCTTCCTAGTTCTCTGGCTTCCTCCTCCTGAAACCTACAAATGATGGGGAGAGGCACACAACAGGGTCGACTTGGGGTTCTTTGGTGTTTTTGTTATACCTTCCCCCTCATCTGCCTCCATTCATAGATCTGCTTGTATAACCTCCTAGTTTTCTGTGTTTTTCCATCTCTTCCCCACACCCACTGGAAATGGTAATACAGATGAGACTGTCTGGCCTCCCAGCCTCTCCCGGCCTCCCCGCTTTCCCTTCCTCCTGCCTGCTTCACTTGGATGTCAGCTGCAGCTTGGAGGAGACTAATTGGGTGGCGGAGGGAGCCCTCACTGCAGATGAAAGGCTATAAATAAATATTTTGAGATTAAACATCTTTATTAGAAAACATCAATGCTTTCTATGAGCAGCCTTCGCCTCCTGGTTGCTTGCTTCCCAGGCCACTCAACTGTGTGTGTGTGTGTGTGTGTGTGTGTGTGTGTCTTCCTCCACCCAGAGAAATGGGGAAATTGCACAAAGCTACAAATGCAAATGCTGCTTTCTTACAGCTACTCTCTGACACATGAAAATTATACCTTAGTGGGGTGGGCTCCCACTAGATACTTTAAAATGCCTCTCGCCACATACCAGGCAACACTGTCCACTAGGTCACAACATCCCTGAGGGTAGAGTTTGCTCCCCACCCCTCAAACTGGACCAACACACTTTACGTTGTTTATTTATTTAGAAGCATTCTTAGGTCACTTCCACACTATATGTTTAAATATTATGTTGGAAGCCACCCAGAGTAACTGGGACAACACAGTCAGATTGACTCCATCGAAGAAGCAATGATTCTTCAACATCAACTTTGTTGGATTGATCTTCCAAAGCAACTACTCTATTCCGAACTTAATAATGGAAAGCGTAATGCTGGTGGTCAACAAAAGAGGTTTAAAGATGCTTTCGACACAAATAATAAAAAATGTAGTATAAACACCGACAATTGGGAAACACTGGTCTGTGAGCGCTCCAATTGGAGAACAGCCATTACCAAAGGTGTCATAGACTTTGAAGATGCTCAAACTCAGAACGAAAGGGAGAAACATGCTAAGAGGAAGGCGGACTTGGCAAACCCTCAATGTGTTCAACTCCCGCCTGGAAACTTAAGTCCCCACTGTGGAAGGACATGTGGACCCAGAACTGGCCCCCACAGTCACTTACGGACTCATTGTTAAAACCATGTTCATGGAAGACAATCTTACTCAGCTACGAGGGATCGCCAAAGAAGAAGATATAAATAATAAAATGATGATGATGGAGGAGGAGGATAAAATCTTCACACTGATTTCATGAGCCAAATCCATGCCAAAGGCTTGTGTGACATTGAGCTCTGCACACGGAGGCATTTCTTTTGGAAAAGGTCTCTCTGCCTGACCCCAGTGGCCAATCAAACCTAGAGCAAGAAAGTCTTAACTACCACCTTATTATTTAGCTCTCAGCAGCACAAAGCAAGCTTAGTAGGCAAATCTCGGCTGACAATTTAATTGATAAGTTTGCCAAAATGAAGGTAAGGAAGAAGTTGTTCAAGTCAGCTACCTGTTTAAGTATTAGATGACTCATGAATCATTCCAATAAAGGACGTTTGAATTATGCAAACATTTGATAATTTCTGCTCTTAATTTTAGTGATCACAAATAATGTTTATAGCTACTACGACGATCAGTAATTTCCTGAGTTTCTAAGATACTCCGTGTACATTCCATTAAAGTAGGCTAGATAAAGTAGATAAACTCATTAACAAGCATGAATGCTGAGTCACCAGATACCTGTGACAGCACCACTGGGGAAAGTCACAGAAGTTTTTTTTTAAAAAAAATCTTTATTTTGGGTAGGGCTGACACAAGGCATTTTGGCACCTGCAGTGAACCACAAAATGGCAGGGGAGAGTTGCCAGAGAAGAAGTGTTGAGTGAAGATCTACAAGGGAAGGACTCAAATCAATCTTATCTGATGGTTGAAGTGGGAATCAAACACCATTGCAGCATGGAAAAGGGCCCACTCTGAATCACACCAGGTGGGTGCAGAGCTCAGGAAACCTTCCAGTTGAAGTGTTTTTGTTTTTGTTTTTGTTTTTGTTTTTGTTTTTGTTTTTGTTTTTGTTTTTGTTTTTGTTTTTGTTTTTGTTTTTGTTTTTTTCCAGCAGGTACTTTAATTAAAGTCTGATTTTATAGTTTCCACCAAATTTTACCCTTTCTGTATTCTATTTCTTATACATGACTTGGAGACTGTTGTCTAAGTGGGATAGAAATTGTTTTTTAAAAAAATAATTAACTGGGGTGCTACTACCAAAAAGGCCTTCTCCTGGTGGTAGGCAAACTCCTTATAAAGGAAGGACTTCATAACCCAGCAGTGCTAGAGTCTCTTTGAGCTCAATAGGGTAGACCAGGTCAGATAATACCCCCTTGACCTCTGTAAAAGTTTCCTTCACCTGTGCCTCCCTCCTCCCCATTTCTCAGTGCTCTTCCAAGAGCCAACAGCAGTCCGATGAAGAAAAGTAGATAAGCTGTATGTTTTTTAATGGAATGTGCTACATCTATTCCAACTCATCTGGGCTTGCAGGTCAAATTACAGACCATGAAAATACTAAAAGAAATGATGTAAGCAACATTTCTGGGAGAGGTCTAAGCCAGAATAACATGTGCTACAATTTTAATGTGCATCACGGCTTTCCAAAGATAGCCACACTCGCCCCTCAGCTTTCGATAAAAACCAGCATTTCCATGAGATGTAGAAAAGGCCACTCCAATGTCCCCTTGCTACCACCCAGCCCCTTTTTGGGGGGCATCAACTGTACTGATCTTCCTCAAGCCCCTACTCCTAAACATGATGTGTTCTTGCAACCTATTTTTCTCTCCTGCCAGTAGTTTAAGAAGAGGAGAGGGGACATCTCTATGCAATTGCTTTACAGGATGATTCAGTCTCAACTGTGCTGCCCATAAAATATACTCACCTAATAGTCTCCCAGGACTTGTTTGTCCTTGGCTGTTGACTATAACTCCAGAGAGAGAGAGAGAGAGAGAGAGAGAGAGAGAGAGAGAGAGAGAGATGGCCAGCATCTGTGTTTTGGCATCTTTTGTGACTGTGATTTGATTCCCCACTTTCAGGCTGCACTACTAGCTTCAACAAGGGCAGGTGAGTTTTATCATTCCAAATATCACCTCGCCCTTTCATTTTGCATGGATTTATGACTTGGATACACAAGGAGCAGGAGATGGCAGCAGGATTCAGGGGTGGAGAGGAAATTAGTGTTTCCATGTGAACCCATCTAATCCAAAGCAATGTGTGACCCAAAATGCAGCTATCCTTTGAAATCTGCGCTTCTTTGAAATTTGCAATTAAGATCTGCAGCCACATTTTGCATACCACAAAAACAGTATAGCAGAAAGTGTGCGTACAAATGCATATATTGGGGGAGGGATAGTGTTATGTGTACATTAGGAGAAATTACTGAATGGGAGGCAGCTGGTCAATTCCACATATCGTTGGAAGAAAAATATTTTCTAGGGCAACCTTCCCCAACCTAGTGGCCTCCAGGTGTTTTGCACTACAACTCCCATTGATAGGACTGTAGTGCAAAATCTCTGGAGTGAAATATATTAGGGGAAAGTGTGCCCGTGACCTGCGATAGCTCAGTCGGTAGAGCATGAGACTCTTAATCTCAGGGTCGTGGGTTCAGACCCCACATTGGGCAAAAGATTCCTGTATTGCAGGAGGTTGAACTAGATGACCCTTGTAAACAATAGCATACAAAAATGCATTCTGTTAAGGGGAAATACTTGCAAAAATACACACATTAGGAAAAATTCCCCACCAAAATGTGTATAGTAAGGGAAATGTGCACCAAATGCTGAAGGGTTTACATGAGGGCTTTTAAAAAAAGCTTCTCATACTGATGCAAAAATGTGGCAAATTAAACTTAACCCTAGAAAAATGAGAAAGTGAGACAAACCAAAATGGGCCATCTTGGGATTTCTGCAGTTGGACTTAAGCAAACATGAGGGAATGTAACAGAAATGTGACTGAGATGAAAAATTGAGTCCAGCCTACAAATCCTAACTTGAAATCCTTGCAAATGTAAGGAGCTGTCTTGAGTAAGAATGCCAGCCAGAGGAGGAGGACTTCAGAGGCAGTGAAGCTAGCTGGAATGTGCTGCCCTAGAAAGCACTCCCAGGAGCAACAGCTCTCATCACTACTGGCCTGATTCTTTGAGTCTGCCTCTTAAAGGGTCTAGCCATGCAAATCTGGGTTCGTTGCAAGCCCTTGCCATGGAAGTCAGGTTCAGTGGGTGTCATTAAGGTAACTGGCCCTCTGGTGAGTCTCATACATGTAGAAGAGGGTTTGGTTGCCCACATTGGCTCCCTCAAGTTTCTCCTCATTCCCTTTTCGGGATCAGGTGCTTGGCGAGAGCACCTGCTCAGTTGAGGTTACTTGTAGCTTCTGTGGGCTACTGGCAGGAGAGCTCACAAATGCTTGTTTTCTCCCCATCCTGTTACCACCACCATTCCTTTCTGCTTGGTCAAGATCGCCTTTAAAGGACCCAGTTAAGAGTCTGGGGTTTGGGATGTAAAAGTTGGTACTCAAGTTGTTTTTGGTTTAGAGGCTCTCCTGCACAGGAGGGCCAAAATTTCATCCTAGCAATTAAGGGGAGATGGAAACTTAGCCAAGGCTTTATTCTCCTTCTGATTGGTTAGAAGCTTGGGAGTAAAATATAGTCATACCTCGGAAGTTGAACGGAATAGGTTCTGGAAGTCCGTTCAACTTCCAAAACGTTCGGAAACCAAGGCACAGCTTCCGATTGACTACAGGAAGCTCCTTCAGCCAATCAGAAGCCGCGTTGGACATTCGGGTTCCAAAGAACGTTCACAAACTGGAACATTCAATTCCTGGTTTGCGGCATTCGGGAGCCAAAATGTTCGACTCACAAGGCGTTCATCAACCAAGGTATGACTGTATTGCATATAAGTCGAGTCATGTCAAACATGACAATTAGCCAGAAAGTTGTGAAGTTGAAATCTTGCAAGAGAGAGAAAGGGCTTCAAGAGAGCTGGAACACTGGAAAGCGGTGGACAGAACAGACGGATATCGGAGCAGAAAGGAGCCAGGAGAAGACCACAAAGTGATCTGGAAGCTGACCTAAAGAATGCAAACTTGTAAGTATTGTCTTGCTTAGGGAAACAGCCTAGAATATAAATGTAGCTAGATTCATATTTTCTTTCTCTCTCTTCTTTTGCTCTCATGGGTAACTCAAACTACAAAATCATTTCCCCTGAAAAATCATTCCCTCAAAACATATTTCACTTGTTGCCTTACTAAAACCTTAAGTGCAAGCATATTTTGCTTGGGATAAAAATAGTCTGAAGTCTTGTTAGTTACCTCCACATCTAAGTGCCATGCCACTCTGCCTAATAATATAGGGAGTAAGTTGAGCCAGGAAGACAGGAGTGCCTGGCGTGCTCTGGTCCATGGGGTCACGAAGAGTCGGACACGACTAAACGACTAAACAACAACAAGTTGAACCAGTTCCAGTCCAAAAGGCTGTTTAGTGGAGGCAACCAAAGAGAAAGATATTCACTTGCTGGCAGCAGAGAAGTCAACATAAGCAGGGGTTGGTTTGGAGGGTTGCTTTCCTGCCTCTTTTCCCTCTCACAGCGCAGGTTACATCTTATGCCAACGCACCCACAAAGGGTCCTCCAGTTCCGACAGTTAACGCTCTATCTGAAGGTGAGAAAGGAATACCTGTTAACAGAGGCTCTGTGCTGGTTGGGATGTTCAGCAAACCTTCCTCCATCTGGACTGTGTCACCCACCTTGAACCTGCAGCTTTGTAGACTAGCTGAGCTATGTAGACATCCCCGCAGGGCAGCCAGCTGACATCATTGCAAGTGGATCTGCCACCTTGAAAATCATAGGTAAAGTAAAGGTAAAGGGACCCCCGACCATTAGGTCCAGTCGTGGCCAACTCTGGGGTTGCAGCGCTCATCTCACTCTATTGGCCGAGGGAGCCAGCGTACAACTTCCGGGTCATGTGGCCAGCATGACTCAGCCACTTCTGCAGAACCAGAGCAGTGCACAAAAACGCCGTTTACCTTCCCTCTGGAGTGGTACCTAATTATCTACTTGCACTTTGAGGTGCTTTCGAACTGCTAGGTTGGCAGGAGCAGGGACAGAGCAACTGGTGCTCACCCCGTCGCGGGGATTCGAACCGCCAACCTTCTGATCAGCAAGTCCTAGGCTCTGTGGTTTAACCCACATAGCAAGCTGCAAAAGGGTGAGGCCGTGAACCTGCTCCTCTGTGCAGGGAGGAATGGAGCTGGGAGAGGCAAGCCCAACAACTGCCCGGCTGGGCATGCAGCAACATGCCAGCCCAGGTTTAGCTAAGTGAGACCCTCTGTTCCTTCCCATGGGGCATCATGCAGCTCCACCATCTGCTAAACCCACGGAGGGAGCTCACCACTGCTCCAAGTGAGGAAAGGGGCTGCCTGCTGAATGCCCCAAGGACAGGAGCAGAAGACCTTCATTTCCTGTGGGTACCTTGCTATGTCCTTGTGTTCCTAGCTAGGTCAGCATGGGAAAACAGTGCATTTGTACATCTTCACTAAGGTAAGTCCCCTTTCCCCCCAAAACGTGTCAAGTTTCAAGGTTGTGCCATCGCCAAACTGCCTTCTGTTACAGCTTTTTCACCTTCCCAGTTACAGAGGAGTCCATATTTTACATACCTGATATAAAGCTATTGGGAGAGCATATTACGAGAGACAAACACACACACGCACACCAAGCAAACTGGAGGCAATCAATGCCCCCAGGGTCTGATTTACACCCAGGGAGGAAAAGAACATGACACACTGCCCTTTTCCAAATTGTTCCTCTTAGTAGAAGACATTGGAAGCAAGTTTCGGCACACAGGAGAGAGGTGGGGATTGGGGACGTCTGTCAAGGGGTTTCGCAAGCGCACAACTGTCTGTGTTTGTTCAGCCATGTGGAAGGCAGCAGTAGAAAGAACCCACCGATGGTGCATGGCGGGGGAAGCAGAGCTTTGAAAAGCACGGCCAGGTTTGTGTGTGCTTTTCCTCCCCTCCTCCCCTTTCAACCTTCAATTCAGAAAAGGCCCTCAGTGCCTGTTTGAGGAGGATGTGGTTTCTGGAGGTATAAAATGAAAACATTGAAAACAAAGCCCCAGTGAAATGTCTGGACAGGAAAGAGAGACTTGGGGAGCTGCCGATGGCTGGCAAAGCGAGTCTTCAAGTGAACACCATCATTCTGAGATGTTGCCAGAGCTCTCCGCCTCACCACCAAGCGCAGCACTGCAATGGCCCTCTGTGGCTGACTGCTGGCACCACCAAGTGGGCTGGTCTGATCTGTTCCATCAGCCTCTGTTGCCACAGGCCAAGCCGGCCCATCCGCCAGCTTGGTTGCAGATGGGGCTGAAGAGTTTCATCCTTGGCTTCTTCTGTGCTTCAGCTGAAGGGATGAGAGCTGCCTTAGGCCTTCACATCAGAAGGTTCCGCAACTTCACAATATAAAATGCTAATGCCATGCATTTCCTAATCCCGCCATTTCCAAAATCCTGTGGTTCCAGATCATGCATTGCTTTATTACTTTCAATTTCCAATTATGTCATAATTAGTTCTTGAGTTTGGTGAATGCAATACTTTTTTGTGTGCTATCAAGGTGGGATCTCTTTCAAGGTGGCTCCCCAATTCAACACAGACTGTGGAAACTTCACACTGGACTTCAAGCATCTGGCATTGTGTGCCTCCCCATTCTTCCTCCAGACTCTGGGTCCTTGGTTTCCAAATGAGATGCAAAAGCTGCTCTCATCAGAAAAGAGATTTGGGGAGCCATGTCATCAGCTGGTGTTGGTCCACTGTGCTTCATTAAGTCCAGGGTCAACGTAGCGGTCTACCAGAAAATTTTGGAGCACTTCATGCTTCCTTCCGCAGATGAGCTTTATGGGAATGCTGATTTCTTTTTCCAGCAGAACTTTGTCACCTGCCCACACTGCCAAAAGTACCAAAACCTGGTTCAGTGCCCATGGGATTACTGTGCTTGATTTGCCAGCAAACTCACCTGACCTGAACCCCATAGAGAATCTATGGGGCATTGCCAAGAGAAAGATGAGAGACATGAGACCAAGCAATGCAGAAGAGCTGAAGGCTGCTATTGAAGCTTCCTGGTCTTCCATAACACCTCAGCAGTGCCACAGGCTGATAGCATCCATGCCATGCCGCATTGAGGCAGTAATTGATGCAAAAGGGGCCCAAACCAAGTACTGAGTACACGTGCATGCTTCTACTTCTCAGAGGTCCAATATTGCTCTATTTGCAGTCCTTGTTTTGCTGATTTCATTTAATATTCTAATTTTCTGAGATGGTTAATTTGGGGTTTTCATCAGCTGTACGCCATAAACATCACAATTATAACAAATAAAGGCTTGACATATCTCACTTTGCATGTCACGAGTCTATCTCATATATTAGTTTCACCTTTTCATTTGAATTACTGAAATAAATGAACTTTTCCACAATATTCTAATTTTCCGAGTTTCACCTGTATAGACTTTAGCACACCATCCTCCCACCAGCACCATAGTGGTCAGTCTCACTGAAATAAAATTTAGGATTGTTGCTTGTCTTCCTTTCCACTCCAGCATATGAAGGTGTTGCCCCCACCTCTTATTGAAGCTGGGACCTTC